TCGACACCAATCTGAAAGTATGTATTAGCAACCTCGTCCAGCGTTTTTGTAAAAATACGGGTGTCCCGGTGGTGGTCATTTATTCTCTAGCTTGCGCTTGCGCCGGCTAGTTGTGCGTGCAGCTCAAGGGACTTTAAGTAATCTTACTTTATTCTTGGTTTTCGCTCAGTTTGAGTCCGTATACTAGTTTATGATAAACACGAGTTAATCTGTGATGTCTACTGATAAAATCCAAAAGTTATATAGAAACTACTTTATTTGACGACGCTAAATATCCAAGGTATGTACACAACCTATTTCATCTAAAAGGAGATTGCCCATTGAAGAATAGAAATTAGTTTCAATTGTATCGCGATGTGTTTTCCTATGTATAACTTGATTCATTTTTTATGGTTTTAAATTTGTACAATCAATCACAATATCATTTATTTTTCGAAAGCCAAATTGTTCCGAAAAAGAGTAATGGAGTTTATCAGATAAGACTACTTTGTCATTCTGCAAACAGTTTTTCAGATTTGCTATTGTTTATAACGAAAACAATATTTCTCACATACTAAGTAGTTACCGGACTTGCAATTATAAGATCAAAATAATAATTTTCCCATCAATTGACTGTCTAATTACTCTGTTTTATAGCTGGTAACATTGTAGTGCTGGTAACATTGACAGTGACATGAGCACAAACAACAAACGGCGTAGAAGAAGCGGCGTCGCAAACGTCCCGAGCGTAATGTCCGCTGATCTCACATCTCTATTTGAGTGTCTAGTTTGTTTCGATTATATCTTACCTCCAATATTGCAATGTGAAAGCGGGCATCTCGTCTGCTCCAGTTGCCGACCGAAGCTGTCATGCTGCCCCACCTGCCGTGGGCGCCTCGGTTACATACGAAACCTTGCCATGGAAAAAGTAGCTAGAAATGTCATGTTCCCATGTAAATATTCTAATACTGGTTGTACTGTCACTCTTGTACACACAGAAAAAGCAGAACATGAAGAGGCTTGTGAATTCAGACCATACTCGTGTCCTTGTCCAGGTGTATCATGCTCGTGGCAAGGTGGACTTGATCAAGTGATGCCCCATCTAATGATGTCTCATAAATGCATCTCAACCCTGCAGGGAGAAAACATTGTGTTCTTAGCCACCGACATTAACTTGCCAGGAGCAATCAACTGGGTTATGATGCAATCTTGTTTCAACCACCATTTCATGTTAGTACTTGAAAAACAAGAGAAATCTGATGGACATCAGCAATTTTTTGCTATAGTACAACTAATAGGGTCACGCAAAGAAGCAGAAAATTTTGCGTATCGATTGGAATTAAATGGACATCGTCGTCATCTAACCTGGGAAGCGATGCCTAGATCCATTCATGAGGGACTGTCTTCAGCCATAATTAATTCTGAATGTCTCGTATTTAATACGTCTCTTGCACAACTATTTGCTGACAATGGGAATCTTCGAATAAATGTAACAATATCAATCGTCTAGCCAAGAAATAGACCATGGGACATATTCATGAATCAAAGAAGTAATATGTATGTACCTCATTGTTATGTTCGTTATATTTATAAACAAACTTGTGTGATACCACATTAGGCTAATACTGAAACCATAAATTTCTGCAATAGCTATAAAGCTTTAACCTGTTTGTGATAAAAAAAATTTAGAAATCTGTAGCTTAATTTGGCTAATGTTTACGTTATCATCAATCGCATCTCAATAGAAACTCAAATACTTGCATTTGACCTTGTACTATCTACCTGAAATCCAATATGTATTATTGCTATGCCTTGTTCACGAATCAATCAATATATATCATTTGTATATAACCTTATGTGTTCACTAAAGAAAAATGATACACTTTTTAAATAAATTTATATTTTTGAAAGTGATTATTTTATTCCAAACAATGAACAAATATTTGTTTTAATATTAATCATCTGTTGATAAAATCATGAAAAGTTATCTAAATTTAAGAATGTATAAATCTACAAGAATATATATGTTGCTATATGAGGAATATTTACTTAGTGAATTTTCATCAAATGATTTTGCTGTAATGGTGGGTCACAAGTATTAGCACAAATTTGAGATGCCCCTCTGACAGACATACATTATTTTATATACTATTAATCAAATGAAGCATGCGGGAATGCTGAAAACAATCTATTTAATTTGTACCATATAATTCTCAATACATATTACATATTATATTACATACAAAGGTGCACTTAGTACCTAGCTATAGCAATGTTAACCAAATCAATGATGCTCCTGAATTAGATTATGCAATTGTATTTCACTTAAGACTCAATACAGTTAATAAATGGTAAGAAATGAGCTCCCCCCCCTCCGGACCGCTCAATGAGTGCACGCGTACACAAACTTGATCTAGTTAAATTAAAATAAATAAATTGTAAATTATAGTGATTAATTTTGATCGAAACAATAGGAGTGGATAACAGTGCAGGAGTTTGTTGTACTACAGTCGTAGCGGCATGCTACGGAGTGCGTTACGACGTTGGATACTACGGCTACGGCTAATGACATTGCACATGTATGGTTAACGTCACCTCCACCAAGCTCCTAGTGCCCTGGTACTTTTGATTGTATATTGACTAGGATTGCTGTTGTCATCGGCTACCGATTTTTATGTTTAACGTATCTCTTTGGGTTTTATAATCTCCTGGTATTAATGGATAGCGAAATGAACAAATCATTATCGTATTCTGAATCTGGATTGGCATCAGAACAATTAACTCCATCGAACTTCGTATTAGGGCGAAATAGTAAAAGAAAGAGGGAACAGGATAACTTCATCACCAGCCCTTTTACGTCCCCACTACAGGGGCTCAGGCCTTCCTTATGGATGGTTAAGGCCATGACCCTCCACGCTGGCCCAATGCGGATTGGAGGGACTGCAAATGCAGCCGGGACCAACGGTTTAACATGCCTTCCGAAGCACGGAGAGTAGCTCGAGATAATTTTTTTTTTGGACACCCATCCCGTGACCGACCCTTGCGAAAGTTGCTTAACGACAACGATCGCGGGCCGCGGCGCTTATCCACTACGCCACCGAGCTACTCATACAGGATAACTTAGCGGAGATGATCACATAGATTAAAAATATGTTTGCATCAATAGAACTACATGAAGCAATGTATGAACAAACTCTACATAAGTATTTTTCGGAAACAGAATTACCTACTAAACAGAACCTTCATTCTGAGAAGGTGATAGCTTTTCAAAGGAATTGAACTTTAGGTTTACCTTATTATTATCAGGGTAAGAACATTGGAATAAAACAAGAAAATATTAGTTATGATTTATTGTCAGATTTTATAAACAGCCAAATAACAAACATAATGCAAATAATCCAGCTGATATAACATATAATTAGGAATAAAACGATTATTCCACAACTTAAGAATCCTGATCCTAATACCACAGAATATCTAATACCCACAGAAGATGTAATCTTTTCAATATAATTATTAAAATGAATTCTCGTTATTGCAATTAAAATTTGCCTGCGTGAAAAATAATATTTTTCTATTCCTCGTCGCTTGAATAAAATAATGATTTCGAGATTATCTTAAAATTAGCAATTATTAGAAATAATTTTATAAATGTCCAAGTACAAGAACGTAGAATTGGTAACGATAGTCATAATTAGGTTTTATTGATTTAATTGTGAATTACGGTAATGTTATTTTGTAACGGAATTCTTTTGTTATCTATTTAAGTATACACATAATTAAACGATTAAACGGTTTTTCTAATAGTTTTTGTACAAAGTCTTATGAATTAAATTTTGATACGCTTCATTTGGATATTGTTTAGGTTTTATAAAATGTACACTACATATTTTCAAAAGTAATTTTACCACAAAAACTAATTGTTTTAGTAACATAATATTTTATAAATAAAATGGAACCTAGAGTAGAATTAATAAATAAAATTCAGTCAAATAATACAAAACTTAACCAAAACAAAATCGTAATCCTTTGTACAAACCCAATACAGCTATAAAAACAATATTTTAAAAATAACCATTTCTTAACATTTATTGAATTTATTCAAGTCCTAAGTGAAAATACAATTGCATTGCATAACAATACAGGAGCATCACTGATTTGGTTAACATTGCTATAGCTAGGTACTTAGTGCACCATACGACAATGTATTGAGAATTATATGTTACAAATTAAATAGATTTTATTTGCACTCCATTATGTTACATTTAAATGATAGTACATAAAATAATCAATTTCTGTCAAAGAGGCATCTCAAATTTCTGCTAACGCTTGTGACCCACCATTACAGCAAAATCTATTGACGACAATTCACTAAGTAAATATTCCTCATATAGCAACATATACATATATTCTTAAAGATTCTTAAATTAAGATAACTTGTCATGATTTTATATACAAATGATTAATATTAAAACGAATATTTGTTCATTGTTTGGAATAAAATAATCACATTCCCTTCTGTGAGGTCACAATTTGTTTTTATAAACTATGTTTACAAGGCATTCCATAGTGATCATTTACACTGGAATAATTTTATGTCTCTCTACTAAACTCTAAAGATGAGACGAAACGATGAGATGAAACACACAAATGTACATACAAATAATAATCAAAAGAAATTACATATTTTTATTTTACTTTTCAGTAAATTAATCAATTATTAAATATAAGATGTCAAAGTTAGGATGATTTGCTTTTTGCAAACTGTAACAAAAATATGAACTTATTTTGAAGTGTAATATTTTTCTTTAGTGAACACATCAGCTTATAACAAAATACCAGTACTCACCAGAACTATAGATAGATAGAACAAAGGCTAAATGCAAGTATTTGAGATTCTATGGAGATGCTATTGATGATTAAAGAAAAATTATAAACACATTCACCGATAAAAACAAAGAAACATTTTATGGCTCTAGCAACGGCTTGAGCGATTGGAGGGCATGAATATTAAATTAATTTTAATAATCTGTTGCGTCGTTGTCGTGTAAGACGCGCCTGCCATACCATTCTCGACCTTTAAAGCCGCGGAGAGAGAATGAGAGACCTTTTCTAGAACTGTATTTTCTAAACGATGGTTTGTAAATGTTATCGCTAGTGCGGGCTCGTTTTTCAGAGGCGAAGTTTTCGTCATCATTATCGAATGTAATTGGCCGGTGTCGTTTTTGTGCTGAGACTAGTTTGTCTTTGTTTACTGCGTTATCTTGTTTTTCCTAAACAAAATACATAAAATAATTATATTACAAAACCCAAGTGAAATATTTAATAATGAAAATGTAATTGGTTGGTACAGGATACTGACCTCTTTCTTGGGTTGTTTAGTGGACTGGAACGACAACTGTACTTTACTCTTAATTCTTAGTGGAGTACGGAATATATCTCCGATGAGAATGTTGATATTTGATATTGTCTTTGGTGCTGGAATTTCCAATTCGTTTTCTTCAAAGTCTTGTTGTCCTTTACTGCCCTATGATTACAGTTAAGAATTATTGTAGACATTTTTTAAAAATATAAATACTATTGTATAAAAGTATATATGACCAACAGTATCATGTTATATGTATTTATTTATTTACCTGTGCACCTTGTGTTAGTCTTGCAGTATATTGCAAACGTAAACGCAAAGTTCTTAGTCGAACAGTATCAGCGCCAAGTGTCTCTGGTGATATGCGACACAACGAATGTAGTGCAAACAATACACATTCCATATGAGAAAACTGTAAAGATGGAGTAGCTGAACATTCTTCTGGTTTAGTTTCAGTTCCTTGATTAATTCTATCTGCACCATTTTCCTTAGTAGCAACTGGAAACTCTGGCAAGTATTTCTATAAGAAAAGCAACCCTCAATTAGTAAGGTGTGGTTGTTAATAACATGTGAATAATTAATAGGTAAATAGCAGACACGATCACTAACCAGAAGAATATCATAAACAGCAATTATTTTCTCTTGCAATTTTTCCACATCTCTACAGAACTCTGTAATTTCAGCTAATATTTTCAGTAATTCCAACTTTGAATCAGCATGACCTCCTGTTGTAGTTATATCATCCCAACGGGTTAACACGTGGTCACAGAAGAACTTGACAAACTGTGATGAATCTACTTGGGACTGTAACAAAAAATAAAATTCTGTTCATGTAGAAAACACATTTTTACACATAATATTGGCCTATCAGCTCCTCAGATACTAACAGTGGAGTGGAGCGATCACTTCCTATTTCATATACCTATATTTAAATCATGTATTTACAAATGCGCCTATTTTAAACATTTATTATCTACATCAGTGGTTGCAAACATAGAGTTATGATGTAAATCGGCTATTCTGTGCGGGTAACAAAGAACCTAATAAATAATATCATCTTAATATGGAACATAACACGTGCTTTAAGCGGAAATATAACGATCATTATAAACTAGTACATAGTATGTTAATATATGAATGTAAAATTATCTTTTTATACTTACAGAAAATAATGGTAAAGCATGTCGAGAGCATTCTATGAGTCTATCAACATATTTTGGATCTTCCGGATGCCAGTCTTCTTGGGAGAACGCTAATGATGCCACTAGTTGCACTAATTCCCTTTTTCCTGCTGGAGTTTTACCAAGTCTGGACCAGGTAAGTAATTCCATGATGTGCTCGAACTCTTCAGCAACAACATTCTGCAATTTGAGTTATTTTTATTTATAATTTGGATACGAGTTTCAATCGAATTTGGACTGATCAGTTATAACTCATATTTTTCTACGTATTTTAGAGAATATGAAGTTTAGTGTTTATTACAAACCTTTAATATTTTTTTACATTCATAAATAATTAGCTCTTCTGCTTCCTTGTTTATGATTTCTCGTCCAAGTTGTTTAACTTGAGTCGCCAAAAATTTGATACAGCGCGCCCTTAAAATTTCATTAGCAACCTCTCCATTTGTGGTACGGTGTATTTGACCAAATATGCCTGTGAGTGCTCCTTTTGGATCACTTTTTAATACACTCCTCAATGAGTTGGTGACCACATTAATTTCTGTAGTATCATCAGATTGTAAAAGCCGTGATAAGATATCAGCGATTCTTTGAGTATGTTCTTTACGTCCCTTACAGAGCTTTGGCAAATCTTTGATAACCTGCTTTCGAATCTGTAATAAAAATAAAAATTAAAGATATAGTGACTACTGGTAATTAAAGTTAAAACAGGAATTTATCCATCTAGTTTATTTCTAGGTTTCCCAAAATCAAATTAATTACGGCACTATTAATCTAATAATTTTCTATCAATATTGGTTAGTCAGTTTTATTTTTTATTTTATTTGATATATTTATTCAAAAGCATTATAAACACAATTAATTAATTATACAAACAAATTATCGACCAAATATGGTTTCTTTTGGTAATAAAATAATATTTATATCAAAAATTAAGTTATTATATTTGATCTATTTTACACTCACAATGCTATAGTGGAAAATATTCTTAATGAAAAATACTTTTAAAATATCTATTTTGGCTCTGGTACTCTGAGATGGGATTCGAACCCGAGACTTTTCGCAGTCCATGCGATTGCGACTAGTCGTAGGTCTGAATGATCATCGTCTCAGAGTAAAGAATGGATTTTTTAAAGCATTTTTCATGATCATATTTCTTTAAATTAACAAAAATGCCAAACCACAATGTTATTGGCCAAAAATCAAATTAATTATACAGTTAATTGATGTGATAGCAATTAACTTTTCACTATTCTTTCAGAATTACCATTATTAATTCATATTTTATTAAATATTGTAATTTTGATTTTATAATTGATAGTCCGGCAACTACTTAGTATGCGAGGGAAGGTATGATGCAATATTTATTTCGTTAAAAACAATAGCAAAAAGAAAAATCAGTTTGCAGAATGACAAAGTAGTCTAATTTGATAAACTTCATTAGCCTTTTTCCCAACAATCCCACCAACGAAAACTAAATTATATTGTTATTTATTGTACATATTTATAACCATAAAAAATTAGTCAAAATTCTATGCTTCAATAGGCAATCTCCTTTCAGACGAAATAGGTTGTGTACATACCTTGGATATAGTAGTATCCTTAGCGTCGGCGAATATTTCGTAGTTATTATATAACTTTAGGATATTATTAGGAGACATCACGGATTAACTGTAGATATACTACTGTTACTGTACTACTATTTGTAGAATACACTGACTCAAACTGAGAGAAAACCAATTATATAGTAAGATTACTTAAAGTCCTTTTAGCTGCACGCACGACTAGCCGGCGCAAGCGCAAGCGAGAGAATAAATGACCACCACCGGGACACCCGTATTTATACAATAACCCTGGACGGGGTCGCTAATACATACATATTTTCAGTCTGCGGTATATGTTCGATAAAAAATTACGTTATTGAAATATTATATATTATTATACGCAATATATATTTAAAATTATATGATGTATATTAATTGAAAAAAATTTTATTACTTAGTTTTATTAGAATAATAAATTGATACAAGAATGAAACATCTTTAACATTTTCTAGAAATTCATTATCTTATAAATAATGGTTTGTCTCTATGGTCTGTTGAATATTATTTATTTTTCAGATCACTTAGAGTTTTATCATCGTTTAAGTAAAAAGTGTATTAAATTGATTTATTAACGAAAAGGCGTAGGTAAAGGTAAAGTAATAGGTTATATTTTACACTTAAAGGAATAAAACTGGTAGTAAAAAATGTATGGGGAATCAAAATGTTACCATAGCAACCATTGTTTACAATCTGATTTGTCATTGTAATAATATTATTTACAAAATATTTTATTGTATCGCGATGAAAACTGGTATTTGAGTAAATATATTCATTTTTGAAATTTTAATGGATAAAAATGTTCAAATTCAAGTAATTTTGTTTACGATACAAAAATTCTTTTTATGTTTTATATATATCAACTATGTTAAATTAATTCTAAATCGCAGATTTTTGTTCCTAGAAAACTTATTTAGAATATCTTTTCAGCCAGCCGATGGCGAGTATATTCTAAATCATGCTATTATTTTGATCAAAGAACTTTGTGCAGATTTCCAATCAAAAACATTAAAATGTTACTCCAAGTTTAGATTGCAAGGAAAAAATTGCATTTATTTGTGTTTTTCGTTTCATCGGTAATTAATTTATTAAGTATTGATAGGTCTTAACCCAAGATTTTCAAGTTGATAATTTTATTTCATTTGTTCATTCATATTATATAAGCACCTAAGTATAGGTTTCCAAGTATAAATGTCGTAGCCAGATCGTAGAAATTACCAATTCGTGATGCGGCCAGTCATAACATGAAATGTTTGTATTTCATGAAATTCAAAAATCTTGCTGCCCACATCATGATGTGGCCTGGCCAGATCAATGAATGATTTGCGTTATAACGATAGGGGCGGCTGATAGTATGACTTCTTCATGATGTGACCAAGAGTAAGTGATCATATTGTAAAATAGTTACGCAAGTCTCAGTAAGAGGCGCTGATGTCGCACTGTTTTTGTAATTTGTTACATTTATTTTAACTTTTAGGTTATACAACAAATGAAGGAAAGTACGGTGACTAAGCAACGTAAAACAATTTCTTGATTAACTTCGGTGATATAAATGTAGGAGTGCAGTGCGAAGGTGCAGCAGCAAAGGCTTTTTCTATAGTTTTATGGATATGTCGCAGGTTATGATAAAGACAGGATTGTGACCTAGCTCCAGAGGCTGATAAAAATATATTGGAGGATATAAAAATTTTTGAGATATGAACTGACCTTAAGTTCCTATATAGTTCGCTTCTTTTGGTCACATGATAGGTTAGAAATTTAAGACACTCACGAAGCATCACGTAGCGATCTTATTAAATTTTGAGGTTGGAACAAAATCATAACTCTAACGAATAAACAAGGTATTTCAGCATATAATTAGATTTCTGTTTTGGACACCCTATATTAATGATATGACCAAACGTGGATTGACATATCATTTAACGTTGACTTGAAATCGTCAATTATACGATATGGCCATGACATATATATGTAATGTAATAAGTCGTTTATTGAATGATATATATACATATATATATATATATATATTGCACTGTAAACAAAAATATTATTTCATTATCAGCCCCTTCAACTCCCTACTGCATGGGCTTTAGATGGTGGTAAGGAGGATGGGCCATGACATCCCACACTGGTCCAATGTAGATTAGAGGGTATTAACGACAGCAAATGCTTCCGGACTTTATGTGCCTTCCGAAGCGCGGAGTAGCTTGAGATAGTCATTTTTGGTCACCCATCCCGTGAACGACCTTTGCGAAAGTTGTTTAACTACAACGACCGTTAGCCGCGGCGCTTATCCACTACACGACTAAGTTACTCGAAAAATTAAATATTTTTTATTGGAATCTAAATGTTCTTTTTTTATTTTCAAAATCACTTTAACGTTTTATTGTACAACTCCAGAGACAATTTCTGCATTTATGAATTTCTAGAATGAACATTGAGTAAAGTGCTGCCGACATTGATAATATTTTGCCGTACATTTAACAGCACACCAGGCTATACAAAACTGACAAATTTCTAAATTTTATTTTAAATCTTGTAGTATTGATAGTAGAGTAGTGAGTTTTAAAATAAAATGTAGAAAAGAATTTAAGCTTTGCCATACTAGATTGCGTTTATGCTCAAGTAATCTGCGCTAACGTTTCTATCAAAGAATTTTGCGTAGATAACATTTTCGATTAAGTTTTGTGTAAACTTCAGAACTGTTTTTTCATCGGTATTTCAATTTTTTTTGGATTACATTAAAATCTCTAAAGTTTTCAAAGATACTGGATATTTATTGTAACATATTGGATATTTTTTGTAGTATCTTCGAACCTAAACATGAAGGATGTTTCATCATCAACAGTGTTTTTGGAAAATATATGCTGCCCAAAGTAACTATAGCACGGGGAAGTTGGGAAGATTTGGTTGGTAAAATTTGAATGGGTCCTCACTTTGAGTCGTTCTGTTCTGCATTATTTAACAGAATTCCAAACTAGTGGGCTTGTTTCTTTGTTTTAAGTTTTTATTTAAGTTAATTTTTTAATGTATTTTTAAAATTCGTTATTACGCAGTCGGGTTTTTTGTTTTTCTTTAAGTTATTTTTCCACGAGTATTTACATAGTCTCAATTAATAATATGAAATATATATATATAACTTAATATTTAATGACTTATCGACACATGTAGTTTAAATCTGCAAAACATTTCTTCTTTCTTCCTTGTCCACTTTATGGACAGTGGATTGTCATTGGTTAGCAGTGCGTGTACTGCAAGAGAGATCTCCTTGCAAATATCGATGCGAATTGGAAGAGTGCAAATGTCTGCGATAGTACATATTACAAACCTTTTTAATTTATCATTATTATCAACAACAAGTTTAGCTTCACTTTTTTTTTTGGTTTGTTAACATGTATTACTCATGATAGCCGAAACTTTCTAATTTGCAAATTTCCTAGTTTAAAGTACTAATATAACAGTATAATACTAAACAATCAAGTGATCAGTAGCTTTATTCACGTATTGGAATTTAAATTATCATTAAAAAGGCCGCCATTGATACTAATTGATTAAGCGTCGAATTGTCTAAGAATAAAATTTAAAATTAATGTAACCAGTTCACTAATTGCGGTCTTCAAAGGTCATTTAGTTAATAGAAATGATGACTAATATTTGTTTGTCTGTCTGTCAGGTATATTAGTGGAGAATATTAAACATGTATTTGCGTAATTAATAGATTACGGCGATAAATTTGGTTAAAATGACGCATAACGTTACGGCTCTTGTACACTCTCTATGTTGTTGTGATGTAGAGAACTCCCAATCCTCAACTTTAATACCCAATATCTGAACCATTTCTTGTTGAATTCAAACAAAAGAATAAAAAAACGAATCTAATATTTTCTAATATCCAGACATCATCCCTATTATAGTTAATGTATATTTGACCTCAGATTATAAATAAATAATAAAAGGGCTTGTTGAAAGAATTCCAAACTTTTGAATTCTTAAATAAATCTGAAGTCTCTGGGCCACACAGTACAGCATACCTTTATTATCTTGACGTTTTATATATTTATTTATACATTATCATTCCAATGTATTTCATTTCAATGCGCTGTCTTACAACTTATCGTACTTCAAATCTTAACTTACAATATACTATTATAACTCTTATTCACTTTAATAATAAATATAAATGTGTAAAAATGGTAAAAACAAAAACAAAAAGCAGTCGGCAGCGAGCGACCAACTGTTTCAGCCACAAACTATATTTCATTATAACAAAAGCTACATGAGAAAAAAAGATAAGGTAAAATAATAATTAGTTTGTAAGAAACATCGTAAAATATTATTTCAAGGAAATATGAAAAAAAAAACGAATTAGCAGTTTCATTAGTGCTGTGTATTATAATGTTATCTGTTTTCTGCTTTTGCAATGAATTTTACGTATAATGGACAGATTAAACAAAATAGAACAATTGAAAAACTATTTAAGACATTTTAAAAACTATTGTAAAAATTTCCATGCATTTGAAAATGGTCTCTTTGTCAAAACTGCTCAGGTGATACTTCTCATTGTTTTGTTGTTTATGATATTAAGACTAACTCGCATATAATACCATTGTGAGGAGGTACATGTAAAACAAAGTTTCTAGAATAAGAGAGGAGTCAGCGATGTTTTCTCAAAGTAATGTTTTAAAGCCATTTGGTTTCCCTACAAAAGAACTCTGTGATTTTTGTCAGCTTCTATCAGTTATCTTTTGGCAACTCTAAGACTTCAGAAATATTTACCATATAATGTCAACATTATGAACTGTAGGAGAAAGGAGAAGGTAGCTTATGTAAAAAAAATTAAACAAAGTTTGTTAAACGTCAATACATAATACAGTCCGCATATATGTACAATAAATTAAATAATCATTTAAAAATCATGATATTTCTATTCTTAATTCTTAATTGATCTGTTATATTTAACCTGGCCATTATACGTATAATTCATTGCAGAAGCAGAAAACTGATAATATTATAATACGCAAATAGCATAAATGAAACTGATGTTACTGTTTTTTTTTTCT